AGGTGTGTGGTACCACACTCTGTTTATGGGGTGCTGGGGATTGAATGTCTGTGCTGGGCAAGCATGCTACCGAATTGGAGCCCATCCCTAGCTCCTTAGGGGTCTTTTTCTTTCTATACCCATATGGTTAGATGCCTGGTTGGCTGGTTAGCTTTGCTTTACTGAGGGCTGAAACCAGAGCCTTGCTCATGCTAAGCAAGCTCTCTGCCATTACACACCACACACACACACACACACACACACACACACACACACACAGTGATGCTGAGACTTGAACCTGCGACCTCAGGTATGCCAGGCAAGCACACTACCATCAAGCCAAATCTCCAGACCTTAAATGTTTTTTTTTTTTCTTTTGGTTTTTTTGGAGACAGGGTTTCTCTGTGTAGCCCTGGCTATCTTAGAACTCACTCTGTAGACCAGGCTGGTCTTGAACTCACAGAGATCCTCCTGCCTCTGCATCCCAAGTGCTGGGATTAAAGGTGTGTGCCCCTACGCTCAGATTTAGACATAGAATTTTAATAAGAATTTTTCAGACTGAGCTTGAATACACTCTGTACCCCCAGATAGGTATTGAATTGGCAATCCTCCTGCCTCAGACTCTCCAGTGGCTGGAATTACAGGTCCATATGACTGCATCCTACTCACTCTTCTGGTTGGACATTTAATTAGCCTTCACTAAGTACCTGCTGAATAAATGAGAAAGGGAGAGACAGAGACAGAGAGACATAGACAGAGAGTTTGTTATCTATGAAGCACCCTCCATGCCATTTGCACTGACACAAACAGCTCATTCAATCATCATGTGGGCCCTGTAATGCAGGGTCAGTGGCTAGCCCCATTTTAAAGATGGGAAAATAGAGGCTTAGTTAAGACTTTTGGAGTCATGTCTTGAAGCCAGAGAGAACTGCATTCACACGCCACACCTGCGGCTTACTCCTCAGCCTCCACTTATCCATTCATAAAATGGGTTCAATACCACTCACCTCAGAGATGAACAGCTCAGGCAGAGACACAAGCATCTCATCTTTGGTGCTTCCAAAGAGTCGCCTAAGACTAGCTGCTTGCTGTGGAAACATCATCCACTGTTCTCCATATGAGCTGGCCTCAGGAGAGATGGGTACTCTACTCGGCGAGACCCGATCGGAAAGAAACCTTCCTGTTTCCCAGGCTGCCTTGCTTTACCCTGCATGGCTCAGCCTCCTCTTGAGGCCAGTCTTGGCATGGGTCCTCCCAAGGATACACAGTCCCTGGTGTGGCTGAGCAGTGTTCGAGCCCCCAGTGGAGATTTGCAGAGCTGGAATCTCCAGCAATCGTATGCCATGGACCTGCAGAAACACAGACACACTGGTGGGTTCTCACCAGCCATTTGGAGGGGTGATAGGCACATGATATGCAGGGCATAAGACATGTGTCTCAGGAATGGACAGACCTCAGAGATGACCAGGGAGGCTCTCATAGGGGCTTCGGTCACGATCCCTTTTTCACCTGGCGTGGAATTGCTCTTTGCAAAAGGCCCCAGCTAACCATGGCCTCTCGCAGTCCTCTTGAATTATAGCTTGGGGCTCCAACTGACAGCTCTTACCCATTCCCAATTCTCTGAGCACACAGCTCCCCACTTCCTGGCTCCTGAAAATACCGTGTATGTGCTTCCCGGTCTCTACAGAGAGTAGGACATCCTCATCCACCCTTATCAGCAAGAGCTGTTGAGTCTCCTTCGTGGCTGTCTTCCCAGGGCACCAGGGAAGCCTGTACACCAAAGGGACTGAGGCAGAGGCAAGTGAATCGCTATGGCTTCTGATCCCAGCCTTCTCTACACAGTGAGTTCCAGGCCAGCTGGCGTTACATAGTGAGACCCTGTCTTAAGTCAAAACCAAAAGTCTGGAGCGAACAGTTTCACCTGACCAATGACTAGGACTGCAGCTCAGTGGCAAGGCACAGATTTAACATGTGCGGGGCTCTAGATCTGATTTTCCTAGCATCGAAATAAAGTAAAACAAATAATTAATGGATTAAATAAATCACACACAGCACACAGGCATGCCGAGACAGACAGACCCATAAAATAGACATCTAAACAGAAAAGCAAGTACTGAAGACTCTGACAGACATGTATAGACATAGGCAAGAACACACTCACACACACACACACACACACACACACACACACACACACA